AGGTTGTTGATCCATAGATCACTCTCAATCCATCAAGGTACACACATGGATCACTTAGAGATTCAAAATCTGATCCAAAAATACACATTTAAGTGGTTGAAACAGACTTAGACAGCTCGAGCGCTCAAACCACCACTCGAGCAGACTTTTTGATGATCCAGCATTTTTCTCTGCAGCTCTAAGATTCTAAGACGTTGTCTTGATCGCTCGAGTGCAAGAATGAATGCTTGAGCAGTGAGACTAGTAGATACAAAGATTGCTTGAGCGCAAGAATGACTGCTCCAACAGTGGGACTCATAGATGGTGCTAGCAAACTTCCACAAGACACTTCGCTTGAGTGCAAGACTAACAACTCAAGCGACACGCATTTCCTTCAACACAAACGCTTCTTCTCAAGCCCAAATTGGGTTCAATTCGCATCTAAACACTCACAAATTCACAGAAATAAAGGAGTGAATATGATTACATTTGAAAGAAGTTTTGTCAAATGGAATTGCTAATTACAAAATACCTAACACTAATGAAAAATGACTTAACTATTATGTGAATTAAATTTCTAGAGATACCAATGTGAGTATGTCAAAAGTGTGAGACTAATTGTTTTTACCTCTACATACTTGTATATATAGCAAATCGAAAAATAGAAGACAAAAAAAAAACATAGATAGATATATACATTAGTTGGGGTCTCCATTGGGCTTCTATTAATCATGTTATACTTGAGCCTGAATCTCTTAATCACGTTATACTATTTTGCCCTTTTGTATGGAAAATTTGGTGTGCTATTATCAATTGGTGGGATCTTCATTGGGCAATACCAGGTTCAGTTGATTTGCTTCTCAAATGGTAGGCTGGAATGAAGCTTAAAAGGGTTGAGAAACAACTTTGGCAAGCTTTACCCCTAGTAGTATTCAGCACCATATGAAAATTGAAAAATGATTATATCTTCAATGGATCTCATCCTAATTTGACTGAATTTTGTGAAACCATAAAAATCAGGATTGCTGTGTGGATGAAGGCTCATTCTGCTGGTATTTTCTACTCAGTCGATGATTTTGTTCATAGAGGCTGATTTCTTACTGCTACTGCTGTGGGGTTTGTCTCAGCAGAGGTTTACTGTAGTATGGGCTGTTGTGTTGGCCTGGCTATCATGCCTCTTGTGAGGGTTGCTTGTTGGCTAATTGGGTGTGGACTGCTTTGTTGACTTAGTTGGCCCATCTTTATTATTCTAGCTTTTGTATTGTTTTCTGGTTTTGTAATAACCCGACCCTCGTACATATTTTCTGGTATGCTTTCAGTCCCTTACTCTGTGCATTTATGTGCTTGCTGTGAAATTCCATGTGAAATTAAGTTTAATTGAGTGAATCTTATAATTATAGATTCATATCTGTCTAATAAGAGAAATATCTGTTACAATTATCATGTTTGGATCAGAAATTGGAAGCCTTAGAAACTTGATAATCTGAAATTGACTTTATAATTGAGTTCAGCATAATTTTTAGATCATACTATGATTTTCTGTAAAAATCTGATTCGGAATGATTAAACTGATTAATTTTTATTTTTAATCAATTTTATATATATCTATCTATTTCTTATACTCTTAACTTGATGAGTCTCTCAAGAAAATATCTTCCGAGAGAGAGTGGAGAGAGTAGAGAGAAAGAATCAAAGAGGAGAGCTTCAACAAACAAGAAAGTTGGAACTTGAGTAGAATTTGAGAGATTTAAGCTCAAAATAAGTTTAATTCACCTTGCACAACCCTTCTCTTGAATTTGAGTAAGAATTTCTTGTCAATATGTAAGCTAGGGTTTGTAATTGGGATGGAGTGTGTAATAATCACTTGATAGGAAGAGTATTCTTATCATTTACTTGTTTTCAGAAGTAATTTGGGTTAGATGGAGGAATTACATCCTATTCCTTGGTTCTCATGTTGAACTCACATGGTTAAACATATTTATTGTTCATATACGAAATGGAAGAGTTAGCTTGTGATTTCATTAAACTTGTAATTTATGATTTTATGGTGTTATGACTTGTAAACCATATTTATGGTATTGTTATGCCATTATATTGTGTTGTTTACCCCATTTCTTCCCTTTGTGATGATGAGAATTTGATGAATTTGTGCCTAAATTCGAACTAACCAAAATAGGGGCTATAACCACACGTGCGGGGGTCATGGCTGCACGTACGGAAAGCACCACCGCACGTGTGGGAAATAGGGAAAAATTAAAGGTTGCATTCTGAAATAAATGCACGTGCGGGGCGCACGTGTGGCCATCTTCCCGCACGTACGGCGAAGGGCCTCCACACGTGCGGCCCATGTAGAAAAACTTCGTCTCCTCTGTTTTACTTATTTGACCCTCTGGTATTACTAAAATCTGTATTTGATGCTTTAAAATGTTTGTAAATTCATTGGAAGCAAAACGAATCAGATAATGATTTAAAAGGAAAAATGGGCTAATTTGTGAATTGCATATATGTGTAGGTCACATTCCGGAAGGGACTATCGCTCCGCCACAGCACTGTGATTAATAGTACTGTAGTAGTACATTTTGCTTACTGTTAATAGTTAATATTAATGTTCTGTTATCTGTAAGTGAACTACATCGATACATAATGAGTAAATGGAACTTATGCACATTATTGAACAATGATATCTGTGTAGATCTGAGATCATTCTATTTTGCTAATAATCGGCCTGAGGTCGTTCAGTTATAAGCCACCGAGTGTGGACAACTCTAAAAAAAGGGGAAGTGAGGACATGTCAATGACTCATAATAATAACGTTCTGTTATCCGTAAGTGAACTACGTCGATTCATAACGAGTAAATGGAACTTATGCACATTATTGAACAATGATATCTGTATGGATCTGAGATCATTCTGTTTTGCTAATAATGGGCCTGAGGCCGTTTAGTTATAAGCCACTGAGTGTGGACAACTCTAAAAAAAGGGGAAGTGAGGACATGTCAATGACTCATTGACCGTGTTCTGGTTTGAATTAAATATATTTATGGCCTGTGGCCGAGGGAAGTGGCGTACATGTCGATGTATCACTTACCCGTTAATGTTCTGACATCTGTTGGTATCTGGGCCCGAGGTCGATCTGTAAAATCTGTTGGGCCTAAGGCCGTTCTGTATGATATTGGGCTTGAAGCCGCTCTGTATAAAGATTGGGCCCAAGGTCGTTCTGAAAATGTTTACAGAATAAGCTTAATCACATGACCTCTGCACTTACATACATTACAATTCAAGTTTATTCATTGAATCATTTAAGTACTATTATTCACTGAGCCCTGCTCACTCTGTGTTATGTCTGTCTCTGTAGGTAATCAACCTGGAGGTCAGTCTTAGTCCAGCTTGGACCGCTTGTCTATTGTCCATTACACCACGACCGAACACTTAGATGAAACTCACTCATTTTTGTGGAGTTCTTGCAGAGCTTTTAGCTTCGTACATTGAATCTTTTGTCTGGTGTTGTTAATCATGATTAACTTCCTTTATCGTAGTTTTGTTATATCCTCAAACTCGGGGATGGGTCTGTATATTTGTATATATATAATTACGTGTATGTTTATTATGCGTTAAATTGCCTGATATAAAGTGTATGATCCTGGCATGTTAGTATTAGCTCAATGGATGTTGTTTTACGTTGTTAACTGCTTCCGTTCAGGCCCCATATGTTGTACATATCGAATTTGATGTTCGTTTCTGAAGTGATCATGCCCAAACTTTTAGGGGTGGGTTTGAGGCGTGACAAGTGGTATCAGAGCACGAGTTGCTATCTCACACACGAATCCATTAAGCCTTAGGATGTCTAGAAAAGACTTAGGCATCATGCATAATATTCTGAAAGCATATGAAAAGATTGATGGCAACGTTAATTGTATTTGTAATATCTACTAACTCCAATGATTATGATCCATGTTCATTGTATATCTCTTGTGTAGATTGTAATTGATTGTCATGTAGAATATGGTGAGAACAAGAACGGAAGACCCAGAAGATTCTACTTCTACACAGTTGGACAGAATGGAAAGAATGATCATGGAAATGGCGGAGACTTTACGACAACAACAGCAACAGCCACAACCACAACTGTCACCGCCGCAGCCACCGCCACCGGTACCTCCGCCTGTGGTACAAGATTTCCATGCTGAGGACCGAACCATTACACTCACAAAGGAATTTAAAAAGATGAAGCCACCATCATTCAAGGGAGGAATAGAACCAATGAAAGCTGAAGCGTGGGTGTTGGGAATAAAAAAGCTGTTCGAAGTTTTTCCTCGTACCGAAGCCCAAAAAGTGCAACTGGCTGCCTTCACTCTCGAAGACAAAGCACGGAGGTGGTGGATGCTTACGAGGACTGTACACCAAGGATCAACCTGGGACCGATTTTTGGAACTGTTTTACGACAAGTACTTTCCTCAAAGTATGCGAGATAAGAAGGTGACAGTATTTGAAACTCTTAGACACAGAAATAAGACTGTTGCGGAGTATGAAGCCCAATTCGTAGAACTAGCCCGGTTTGCACCTCATATAGTGGATACGGATTATAAGAAAGCACGAAAATTTGAAGGAGGATTACGGAATGCAATCCTTGACCGAGTCAATATGTTGAAATTACCTACCTATGTTGATGTGTTAGAGAGGGCTGTTATAGCAGAGGGAAACATTGCTGCTCAGAATCAGATTTCCGAGTGGAAAGGAAAGAGGCAGAACACTCAATTATCAAAGGGGTCAGCCACTCCACCAAACAAGAAACAAATTCAGGAACCTCTAGTACTTCCACCCCTACTCGAGTTGCAACTCCTGTTTGTTCAGAATGTGGAAAGAAGCACCGTGGGACTTGCTATCGGTTAACTGGAGCATGTTTTAGGTGTGGCAAAACGGGTCATCTGGTAAAGGACTGTCCTTAGAGGAACCAACAAAATGGAAATAGGGCTACTACAAGTTCAACAGGGTCTACACGAGCTCCCAACACCAAGTCAGCTATGAAGTCGGTTAACAATAAAGACACCGCGAGACAAGGGAGAGTGTTCGCATTGGTTCCAGGTGATGTGAAAAATGCTGCAACAGTGGTGTCAGGTACATTTAATGTTCATGGTCATTCTGCTCATGTATTGTTTGATTCTGGCTCTACTCATTTCTTTGTGTCAAAACTATTTGCTCAAAATTTAGATAGATCTGAGGAAGTATTATCTTATGTGTTATGTGTGTCCTCACCTTTGGGGGATTCTATGGTTTGTACCTCTGTATATTTTGCTTGTGAACTCCTAATTGGGGATATCCGGGTATATGCCAACTTATTGCCTCTTGACATGATTCACTTCGATATTATTCTGGGTATGGACTGGCTGAGTGAATACCATGTGACTATTGATTGTCTAACTAAGAAAATCAGTTTCCACCCTTCGGGACAATTAGAATTTACCTTCCAGGGGCATGGAGTGACTTCTCCACCTTATTTGATTTCTGCAATGAAGGCCTATAAATTAATTCAGAAAGGGTGTCAGGGGTATTTGTGCAGTGTCTTAGAAGGGCCACTAATGAATGAGAGTACTAGTATGATTCCGGTCGTCTGTGAATTTCCAAATGTTTTTCCAGAGGAATTACCGAGGGAGTTAGTAGACCGTGAAATCGAGTTTACAATTGAAGTATTACCGGGAACTCAAGCCATTTCTAAAACTCCGCATAGGATGTCACCAGTTGAAATGAAGGAATTAAAGATTCAGTTACAAGATTTACTTGACAAAGGGTTCATTCACCCGAGCGTTTCCCCTTGGGGTGCACTAGTTCTGTTTGTGAAAAAGAAAGATGGAACACTCCGACTATGTGTGGATTATAGGGAGCTCAATAAGGTGACAATCAAAAATAAGTATCCCTTACCCAGGATTGATGATTGGTTTGATCAGCTACAAGGTGCACAAGTCTTTTCGAAAATTGATTTATGGTCTGGATATCATCAATTGAAGGTCAAAGTTGACGACGTTAAGAAGACAGCCTTCCGAACCCAATACGGACATTATGAATTTTTGGTTATGCCCTTTGGAGCTACCAATGCACCGGCAGCATTTATGGACTTAATGAACCGTGTCTTTAAGCCATACCTGGATGAATTTGTAGTGGTATTCATTGACGACATTCTTATCTATTCAAAGAGTGCAGAAGCTCACGAGAATCATCTTCGCTTAATTCTTCAGACACTTCGAGAAAAGAAACTGTATGCTACGTTGAAGAAATGTGAGTTCTGGCTACAAGAGGTAGCATTTTTGGGTCATGTGATAATGAAAGAATGTGTATCTGTTGATCCGCACAAGATTGAGGCAATCATAAATTGGCCGACTCCTACCAATGTAACTGAAGTGCGTAGTTTCTTAGGTGTCGTTTGGTAACACTTACATTTTCAGTTTTCTATTTATATTTACAAAAATTTTAAAAACTCAAATAAAAACTTGTTCGGTAAATTTTTGATTTATAAATCAATGGTCTCAGTTTATAAATTTGGTCCCACCCACCCCCTACACCACCTGCCACCACCACCCGCTACCACTACCCACCAACCACCACCAGCCACCCATCACCCACTCGCTATCACCACCACCACCCACTTGTCATCCACCCACCACTACCATCCACTGCCTGCCACCACCACCCGCCACCTACTTGCCACCACCACTCGCCACCCACCTGCCACCACCATCCACCACCTGCCACCACCACCACCACCCACTCGCTATCACCCACCACCCGCCACCGTCATCCACCCACCCATCCACCCACCACCACCACCACCCACATCCACCCGCCACCACCTACTACCACTAGCTACCCACCACCTACCGTCACCACTTTCCATCACTGTCTTCTGCCGCCACTTGCCACCACTTGTCATTTCTCACTCTTTTTTATATTTTTAAATTTTTTTAAACATTTTGTCAATTACCAAACGCGTTTGTAGTTTATGTTTTTCTAAAAATAAACAAAAACCAGTTTATAAAATTTTTATAAATATAAACTAAAAACGTAAACGTTACCAAACAGACCCTTAGGATTAGCCGGGTACTACCGGAGGTTTGTAAAAGATTTTTCCAAAATCGCCATGCCACTTACCCAATTGACTTGAAAGGAGTTTTGTTTGAGTGGTTAGAACAACGAGAATCTGCCTTCCAGGAATTGAAAACAAAGTTGACTACAGCACCAGTTCTAGCACTACCATGTGGGGCTGAAGGATTTGTAATCTACAGTGATGCTTCCTATAAGGGATTAGGTTGTGTACTTATGCAAAATGGGAGAGCCATCGCTTACGCTTCCTGACAACTGAAACCCTATGAAAAGAATTATCCCACACATGATCTTGAGCTTGCAGCAGTGGTTTTTGCTTTGAAGATATGGCGGCACTATCTGTATGGAACTACCTGTGCAGTTTATACTGATTATAAGAGCCTTAAGTACCTCTTTACGCAAAAGGAGTTGAATATGCGACAGCGACGATGGTTAGAATTTATTAAAGACTATGATCTGCAGATTCATTACCATGTCGATAAAGCCAATACAGTTGCAGATGCACTTAGTCGAAAAGGTGTGGGAAATCTGGCAAGTCTGTTTACGGGGCGAAAGGAAGTATTATTGGAATTGGAGAAAATGAATATAGACTTTGTGATACATGAACAGGATGCGATGGTTGCAACAGTAACAGTCCAACCAACATTAATTGATGAAATTAAGCAGAGACAAATAGAAGATGAATTTTTAAAGAAGATCTGTGATGCGTTAGGGACAAAACTGAGACCGGGATTCAATTTGATGAATTCAGTACTCAAATTTCACGGCAGATTATGTATTCCCAATGTGTCAAAACTTAAATGGAAATTGATGGAAAAAGCACATGCCTCGAAATTTTCAATGCATCCTGGGAGTACTAAAATGTATCGGGATTTGAAACAAAATTTTTGGTGGCCAAGTATGAAAAAGGAGATCGCGGATTTCGTTTCTAAATGTTTGCAATGTCAGCAAGTAAAGTCAGAGCATCAGAGACCGGCAAGGTTATTGTAACCCCTTCCAATTCCGGAGTGAAAATGGAAACATCTGACCATAGATTTTGTGGTAGGGTTACCATGAACTCCTCGGGGTATGAACGCTATATGGGTCACTGTAGACCGGTTAACTACGTCTGCCCGTTTTCTACCTGTGAAAACTCAGTACAATGCGGATAAACTTGCTGTAATCTATGTGAATGAAATTGTGAGACTCCATGGTGTTCCAGTTTCAATAGTATCAGATATAGATCCGAAGTTTGTATCTAGATTCTGGCAGAGTCTACAGGGAGCAATGGATACATAATTAAAGTTTAGCACAGCTTTCCACCCTCAGACAGACGGACAATCCGAGAGAACGATACAGACATTAGAGGATATGCTCCGAACGTGTGTTTTGGATTTTCAGGAAAGTTGGGAAACTCATTTACTGTTGGTAAAGTTCGCATATAATAATAGTTACCATTCGAGTATTGGGATGGCACCCTATGAGGCTCTGTATGGAAGACCATGTCGTTCCCCCGTGTGTTGGGCCGAAGTTGGAGATAGGTCATTGTTAGGGCCTGAAATTGTCCAACTGACAATTGAAAAGATTAAGACTATTCGAGAAAGACTAAAAACCGCCCAAAGTAGACAAAAGAGTTATGCGGATAATCGACAAAGAGATTTGGAATTTGAGGCAGGTAATCATGTTTTTGTAAAAGTTACTCCGATAAGGGACATCCCAGATTCGGGAAAAAGGGTAAAGTAACAACCCTATATGTTGGTCCATTCCAAGTTCCGGAGAAGATAGGTTCGGTGGCTTACCAAGTTGCCCTTCCACCAAGTATGAGTCAAGTACATAATGTATTCCATGTATCTATGCTTTGAGGGTATCTTCCGGATCCGTCTCATGTCATTGATTACTACCAAATCGTTCTGGATGATAAGTTAACTTATAAAGAAAAGCCAATTCGAATTCTGGATCGGCAAGTGAAACAACTATGGAACCGAGAGATTCCGATGGTGAAAATCGAATGGCAGGAACACTACGAAATCGAAGCTACTTGGGAAAAAGAAGAGGAAATGCAACACCAATTTCCGGAATTATTCCTATTATAAGATAAAACAAGTTTGAGGGACCAAACTTATTTAAGGGGGGCGAGAGTGTAATAACTCGACCCTCGTACATGTTTTCTAGTATGCTTTCGGTCCCTTACTCTGTGCATTTATGTGCTTGCTGTGAAATTCCATGTGAAATTAAGTTTAATTGAGTGAATCTTATAATTATAGATTCATATCTGTCTAATAAGAGAAATATCTATTACAATTATAATGTTTGGATCAAAAATTGGAAGTCTTAGAAACTTGATAATCTAAAATTGACTTTATAATTGAGTTCAGCATAATTTTTAGATCATAATATGATTTTCTGTAAAAATCTGATTCGGAATGATTAAACTGATTGATTTTTTATTTTTAATCAACTTTTATATATATCTATCTATTTCTTATACTCTTAACTTGATAAGTCTCTCAAGAAAATATCTTCTGAGAGAGAGTGGAGAGAGTGGAGAGAAAGAATCAAAGAGGAGAACTTCAACAAACAAGAAAGTTGGAACTTGAGTAGAATTTGAGAGATTTAAGCTCAAGGTAAGTTTAATTCACCTTGTACAACCCTTCTCTTGAATTTGAGTAAGAATTTCTTGTTAATATGTAAGCTAGGGTTTGTAATTGGGATGGAGTGTGTGATAATCACTTGATTGGAAGAGTATTCTTATCATTTACTTGTTTTGGGAAGTAATCTGGGTTAGATGGAAGAATTACATCCTATTCCTTGGTTCTCATGTTGAACTCACATGGTTAAACATATTTATTGTTCATATACCAAATGGAGGAGTTAGCTTGTGATTTCATTAAACTTGTAATTTATGATTATATGGTGTCATGACTTGTAATCCATGTTTATGGTATTGTTATGCCATTATATTGTGTTGTTTACCCCATTTCTTCCCTTTGTGATGTTGAGAATTTGATGAATTTGTGCCTAAATTCGGACTACCCAAAACAGGGGCTACGATTGCACGTGCGGGGGTCATGGTCGCACGTGCGGGGCTCACAGCCGCATGTGCGGCCATCTTCCCGCACGTGAGGCAAAGGGCCTCCGCACGTGCGACCCATGTAGAAAAATTCCGTCTCCTTCATTTTACTTATTTGACCCTCTGGTATTACTAAAATCTGTATTTGATGCTTTAAAATGTTTGTAAATTCATTGGAAGCAAAATGAATCAGATAATGATTTAAAAGGAAAAAGGGGCTAATTTGTGAATTGCATATGTGTGTAGGTCACATTCCGGAAGGGACTATCGCTCCGCCACAACACTGTGAGTAGTAATACTGCAGTAGTACATTTTGCTTACTGTTAATAGTTAATAATAACGTTCTGTTATCCGTAAGTGAACTACGTCGATTCATAACGAGTAAATGGAACTTATGCACATTATTGAACAATGATATCTGTATGGATCTGAGATCATTCTGTTTTGCTAATAATGGGCCTGAGGCCGTTTAGTTATAAGCCACTAAGTGTGGACAACTCTAAAAAAACGGGAAGTGAGGACATGTCAATGACTCACTGACTGTGTTCTGGTTTGAATTAAATATATTTATGGCCTGTGGCCGAGGAAAGTGGCGTACATGTCGATGTATCACTTACCCGTTAACGTTCAGACATCTGTTGGTATTTGGGCCCGAGGTCGATCTGTAAAATCTGTTGGGCCTAAGGCCGTTCTGTATGATACTGGGCTTGAAGCCGCGCTGTATAAAGATTGGGCCCAAGGCCGTTCTAAAAATGTTTATAGAAATAAGCTTAATCACATGACCTCTGCACTTACAGCATTACAATTCAAGTTTATTCATTGAATCATTTAAGTACTATTATTCACTGAGCCTTGCTCACTCCGTGTTATGTCTGTCTCTGTAGGTAATCAACCTGGAGGTCAGTCTTAGTCCAGCTGGGACTGCTTGTCTTTTGTCCATTACACCACGACCGAACACTTAGATGTAGCTCACTCATTTTTGTGGGGTTCTTGCAGAGCTTTTAGCTTCGTACACTGAATCTTTTGTCTGGTGTTGTTAATCATGATTAACTTCCCTTATCGTAGTTTTGTTATATCCTCAGACTCGTGGATGAGTCTGTATATTTGTATATATATAATTACGTGTATGTTTATTATGCGTTAAATTACTTGATATAAAGTGTATGATCCTGGCATGTTAGTATTAGCTCAATGGATGTTGTTTTGCGTTGTTCATAGCTTCCGTTCAAGCCCCATATGTTGTACATATCGAATTTGATGTTCATTTCTGAAGTGATCATGCCCAAACTTTTAGGGGCGGGTTTAAGGCGTGACAGATTTGGTTGGTTTTTCATCAACTTGGGTTAGAGCAACTTAATTGGGATCGTCTAGCTTAGTTATGACACTTTTTGCTCTATCTCGCTTTATTGATGTATGTCTTGTACTTTGTCCATTTCTTTAATCAATAAAGATTTTTCTTTTGATGATAAATATATATATACATGTATATTCTAATATTGGTTATTAATGGGTTATTAATGGAAGGGGAAAAAATTGAGGAGACAATGATTAACACATAATTAATCACACATAATTAATATAAAGAAATTTATGCAAGGAAAAAAAAATGAGGGGACAACGACTAACACAGAATTAATTACACATAGTTAATATAAAGAAATTTTCACAATGAAAAGACAGAAATCCCAACAAATACACGGGAACAAAATTAAACTCAAGTGGAGAGATTAAAATTACTCATCACCTAACAAGGTACATGGTACGGGCTAAACTGGTTAAGCCCGTTCAGTCATATTATTCTGGAAGAGAAAGTAATTAATGATGTATTACTAGGATTTTATTACTTGGTACAACTAATAAACATTCAACAATTTTAGTTTCTCTTTAATTTCCTTAATTTCGTCATCAAGATTTGGGAAGTTCTTGCAGTACTTGGGATAAGAAATCCATGCTATCATCATCATAGTATGAATCAAATGGAGACACAAATCCTCCCTCCACGAAGTTGGATGAAAAATTATTTTCATCATCACAGTATGTGTCTGCTAAAAATGGTTGAGTCCAGAAATTCTCAATTGGTTCTGCAAATGAATCTAATGAACTCAAGCTATCCTCAAGTGCCCTGTTCACACCACCACTTAACATTGCATAATCAGAGCTCAAGGATGAGATTTCACTTGAAGATGGTTCTTGGAACAGCGCCGAGCTCTCCAAAATTGGGCAGGGCTGATCATCAGATTCCACTTCTTGGTTGGCTTCACATTTTAACATTTCAGTAGATCTCTCTCTGTGGTCTGCTTTAGATTCAGATCGATCACTGTCTGTTCCAGTGGATTGGTTTTTTATCTTAGCTGATTTGTTTTGTTTGGATCGCTTCTTGAGGTGGGTGTGCCAGTGGTTTTTTATTTCATTGTCTGTTCTTCCGGGTAATTTTGCAGCAATGGCCGACCATCTGTAAATCAAAGAAAATGCATAACACTTTTAATTCTTAGCATACCGAAAATTTCAACAGTTTCATTGAACAAGAAATGGACAAAAGAATCCCAATCAAATAGTTAAATTATACTTGATTAAAATTATGTACGTTATATATATGACCTATTACCTACTTTTTCGGTTCTAAATTAACCGTCCTTTGTAAAAATTCAAGTTTTTTAAGGTACTATAATTATTACGCTTTGAATTTAAATTTTAAAAGATAAAATTATAAAAATACCATTTTATTCTTATTTTTAAATATATTTATAATTACTTTATAAGGGATTATTTTGAAAAATTTAAATTTTGGCTTTTCCAAACTACACATTCATTTTGAGATAAGAAAGAAATGATAACAATAATAGAGATCGACCTGTAATGACGAAAAGAAAACAAAAAAAAAGAAAAATTATAAACACATACTCCTTATCACATACTAAAACTTTCTTTAGAAAGCCAAAATTAGTGGTCTTAATCTTTATTCAAAAATGAAATAATAGACCAATAAAATGAGAGGGATGAAATATATTAATTGAACCGTGTATGTTATGAGAACTATTAGAGGGCTTATGAAATTAATGAACAAATTGTGAAGAATCAAATGTTTTTGAGTTAAAATAGCTTAGTTCATACTTATTTCCAAGGGCTTCATGTAATTTGATGATGATATCCTCTTCTTCTTTGGTGTAGTTTCCCCGTTTCACATTGGGACGCAGGTAATTCATCCATCGCAATCTGCAACTCTTTCCGCATCTAGATAGACCTGAAAGATGCCATCAATTTAAATCTATTCATATGGATATATATACATATACAACTATCATATCATCTATTCTATTTCATACTTACGGATTCTCTCAAAGAACAAAAGGGGCTATAGTTAGAAACTGCCATTGCAGGATTTTTTTTTTTTTTTTTTTTTTTTTTTAAATCAATGAAAAAAACCTTTATTAATGAAATTAAATCAATAAAGGGAAAGAAGTGCAAAATTGCATCAAACTACTTGATGCCGCAAGAAGGCTGCAAAATCATTAATGTTAACTTAAAAACACTTACTCAAAAATTTCAAGAAACTCATACTGATCAGTAGTCACTCTTTCTATCATTAGTTTCCCTCAAAAAAAAAAAAAAAATCACCCACCTGCAAAAAAAAAAAAAAAAAAAAAATCACCCACCTGCGAACTTAGGCAGTTCACGCCAGTTCCAATGACCATATCTCTGAATATAAGCTCTCAACTTGTTATCTTCTTCTGGACTCCATGCTCCTTTCTTCCTTCCATTATTGTCAAAGCATGGCGTTCTCACCATTCTCTCTATTTGCCCCTCTCTCTCTCTCTATTTGCCCCTCTCTCTCTCTCTCTCTCTCTGTGATAAAGATTTTAAGCTTAAAAAAAAAAAAAAAAAAAAAAAAAAAAAAAAAAAAAAAAAAAAAAAAAAAAAAAAAAAAAAAAAAAAAAAAAAAAAAAAAAAAAAAAAAAAAAGTAACAGGCCAGGTTTGTTTGAACGGATATGATTTCTTAAATATGATAAATTATTTAATCTTATATAGGGAGTGGGAAATAAATTAAGAGACTAAGGCTTTGTTTGGGAACAGGTTAATTTAGTAATTTTTTGGCTATTTGGCTAAAATATGAACTAAAAAAACTAGTATGTTTGGGATGACTTTTTGACTTTTTACGAAAAGATGTACAAAAAGTAGAGAGAAAAGAGAATCTTTGACTTTTTGGTATGGGTTGTTGACTTTTTGGCTAATTTAATAACTTTTTGGCTTTTTAGCTAAAAAGGAAGGTTCCCAAACGAGGCCTAAGTCAAAGTCTGGACTAGTTTATTAAATAATTGTAATAGAGGTATTATGATTAATATATTGGATGTCCCATGTTCTGTCATGTCCTAGTCATTCCAATCCCCTTAAACAAATATCGAATTGGATAATATTTTGTTAATCTCTCATTATAATCTCAACTCAATGCACACATAAGATAAGATACACAATCTAAATGGATTCGTAATCCTAGAACTATTAGTCACGAGAATACTAATCAAATTAAATCCAATCCATCCAAACAAACATGACCATAAAATATCAGCCCTTAAAAGAGGGATCTGCTGTATTTATAAAAACTGAGGCCCTATGTTAAAGTCTAATAAAAAATAATAATAAATAAATAAATAAATATATACAAAACAAAAAAACAAACAAACGAATAAACAAAATAAATAAATAAGTAAGCTGAGTCTCTCTCATAGTTCTAAATTACGGTATCGGATAATATAACGATATCGATCGCAGAGTACTGATATCGGTAGTATCAGTCGGTACGTATCAGGTATCGGGTGTCGTGGTGATGAAATTTTAGAAATCATTTCACATAATTTTTTAACTTTTTCTTTTCCGTATCGGTCCGAATCGATGAGTATCGGTCCGTCACGGCTTGTGTAACGGCTACAGATCGCTACGTACCGAGACTTAGTCGATTCTTTTACGATTTTCGATCTAAACATTATACTAACCTGTGTCCATTACAATACTTTATTTTTTCGATACGAACCAACCGATATATAGCCCATCGGCTTGTTTTTAGAACTATGCCTCCTAACAGAAGATTCCATGAAGCCCAAGTCGGTGGCATAATTTCCTGTTTGGTGTGTGCTCTGCTAGTAAATGATAAGATTAATTTCTCTGAGTAGTTGATCTATTAAGTCAGATTAAAAAAATAATAAAAAATAAAATCACGAAACTTCCAATCCAGGGATAAAATTATCATGGCTGACCAGGAGGGAGCCAGGAGACTTCCTTAAAAGTGTCACATGACAAAAAAAAAATAATAATTTATTAGTAAGAAATAGTTGCTTGGTGAAGTGGACCATGATGTTATCTATTTGCAACCAACAAGTATACCAATATAGAAAGAAAAGGGTTAATTATATCAAAATTTTAACAAAATATTAGTTGACTCTTTTAATTATGAACTTATATATTTAAATTTATCAATTTTAAAAATCATTATTTTCACTTCTTTAGAAGGAGTCTATTTGTAAGATATTATAATTACATGAGTGAAAGTGTATAAGTTCATAATTAAACGGATAGTTCATAATTAAGGGAATAAGGTGATATTCTTCAACCCGTGATGGAATTATATTGTAACTAATCCACATCAAAAAATGAAACACATAATATAGACACAAAATTCCTTAAGAGCTTGTAATTGTTTTTCACTAATATATATATATATATATATATATATGTGTGTGTGTGTTTTTGCGGGCGCATGTGCGTTTATATGTTAACATTGACTAATAGTAACAGTACTGTGATGAGTTTCTGAGAGGATACACAAGAAGGCCATAACTACCCAAGCAAAGCCAGAATATGGTCTTAGATGACACCTTTGGGACCAAGGTACACATGTTCTGTAACAATATGTTATGACAAAATTAGAAAACATGTACTTATAAAACAATGGGCACTACTAATAATTACAAGAACAAAGTTTTATATGTACCTATAAAAAAAAATTTCTTTATCACATATGTATCATATGCTCTTTCGAGACTTTTCTTTCTTTATTTGTTTTGAAAATAGTCATTGTTTTTGTTCATACTCATATGTATCAATTGTTTACATCGATAAAGACAATCCTGTATGCATTGAAAGTAGGGACGCCGTTGCGCAGTAGCGTCTGCTGTGCGGTGATTTGGGCTCATTTCGGGATTTATTTTGATAATTCGAACCGTTCATATTTTAGAATACGTCAAGTAGAACATGATTGTAAAAAATCAAGTTAATCGGATATCGTTTACTTATTCATCCGCTCACATTTATATTCATTTTAATCAAGTTAAAATACATTTATATTTATTTTTATATATATAAATGTGAATGGATGAATAGGTAAACGATATCCGATTAACTTGATTTTTTGCAGGCATGTTCTACTTGACGTATTCTAAAATATGAACGATTCAAATTATCAAAATATATCCCAAAATGGGCCTAAATCGCTGCACCGCAAACGCAGCAGCGTTCCTACTTCCGTATGCATTGAAGTTTAAAGAAAGAGATAATTAAAAAGACCAGGCTCTCTCTGTCCTTATCATAGGCTATGAGCATACATTTTTAATCTTAGGATAGTAACTAGCTAGTAGATTTATGCAATTTATAATCATTCTTTTCATCAGTAAAAAAATAAATAAATAGAGATTATTGATGTAAAGTAATAGAGTACAAGGAAAGTATATCACAACTACATCATTTCAGAGTTTAAAGAAAAATTATTTAATGTAACATTACCATAAACCAACCCAAGTCAATGCCTTGAAGCAATGAATAATTTGCTCCAAGCCAAGACACATTAAAGCAAAGAAAAATACTTGAAATCTCTATCATTTTTGACTTCTACAATCCCCAATTAATCTGTGACCACACGTTATATATATATATATATATTTTTTTTTTTTTCTCTTCTCTCCCCTCTCTCTCTCTCTCTCTCAAAAGTGTGGGGGTGCTGGGGTGCGGAGGGTCTGGATATATTACCTTATTCTAATATTATTTGAATTAATTAATTTATTTATTTATTTATTATCTTTTGAGTTGTGATGAAGCTGGCATGAGTTGTTTTGATTATGATTGGAGTTGCATTTGTCTTTGTGAGAGATTCCATTTCCTTCCGACCAGACCAGTCTTTCGTTGTACAAACGTCGCATGTGAATGTAACACCCGTCCCCGTCTCCGAATTTTCCCAAAATTAAATTACTTTTATACCCCTTATATATATATATATATAATAAATCAAATCCTAAACTCGTGCGTCACTCTCTCACTCTCACTCTCGTCCTTCTCTCTCTCTCTCTCTCTCTCTCTCTCTCTCAACTCTCGTCATTCTCTCTCTTTCTCAACTCTCTCCCTCTTACAGCAGTCGCCTCTCGTTCTTCTATGTCTTTCACAGCACAGCCACCGTCGATCTCACCCTCAACTCTCACTCTCACCGACACTCCTCCCTCACCGCTGCTGTGCTCTCTCACTGCCGATCGTCCCACTCTCTCTCACACATACGACGGAGATGTGCTCCCTCACCGTCGATCGTCCCAAATCTGGAAGATGGAGATGACGAAGATGGAGATCTGGAAGATGGAGATGATGAAGATGAACAACATCTGTGCTCCCCGCCGCCGATCAAAACAGATTTGAAGATGGACAGATCTGGTTCAGATTCATATGTTTATGTATATATTTTTTAAAGATTCATATATATATATATATATGTATGTATATATGAATCTATTCAATGCAAGAGATTGAAATTCATATATATATATGTTTATGTATATATAGATTCATATATACAGGTTCAGATTTTTTAATTTTTTGTTTAAGTTGATGATGATTGATAATGATAGACTGGCAGTGAGGGGTTAGATGTATATATAGATTCATATATGTTTATGTTTATGTATATATATATATATTTTTTAAGTTGATGATTGAAATTCATATATATATATATATATATGTTTATGTATATACAGATTGTTGTTTTTGTGTTTAAAAAAAAAAATGAACAGGTTGGGGATTTTCGGGGTTGGGGAAACCGGAACTCCGATCGAGGACGGGGGATGGGGGGGCCGATAGGGTCACCGTCGGGGATCGGAGCCAGGGACGGAAAATTTTTCACTATCGGAGATTGAGGACGGGGAAGGTCAAACTAGGAATGGCAACGGGGCGGGGTGGGGCCGGGGACCCCCCTCCCGATCCCCGATCCCCGATAGTGAGAAATTTCCCGCCCCCGGCCCCGATCCTCGACGGGGACCCTATCGGCCCCCCCACCCCCGCCCCCGATCGGGGTTCGGGTTTCCCCGACCCCGAAAATCCCTGACTTGTTCGTTTTTTTTTTTAAACACAAAAACAACAATCTGTATATACATAAACATATATATATATGAATTTCAATCATCAACTTAAAAAAAATATATATATACATAAACATAAACATATATGAATCTATATATACACCCAACCCTCACTGCCAGTCTATCATCATCAACTTAAACAAAAAATTAAAAAATCTGAACCTGTATATATGAATCTATATATACATAAACATATATATATATATATATATATGAATCTTTAAAAAATATATACATAAACATAAACATATGAATCTGAACCAGATCTGTCCATCTTCAAATCTGTTTCGATCGGCCGCGGGGAGCACAGATCAACATCTTTATCTTCATCATCTCCATATTCCAGATCTCCATCTTCATCATCTCCATCTTCCAAATCTGGGACGATCGGCGGTGAGGGAGCACATCTTCGTCGTATGTGTGAGAGAGAATGGGACGATCGGCGGTGAGGGAGCACAGCAGCGGTGAGGGAGG